ATGTGATATATGCCATCATGTGCTAGGATAGGTTGTAGATCTCTGATGATGCGCTGGTGAGGTTTTAGTTGTGGGCTGAAGGTGACAGCTAGTGGTGTTCTGTTATTTTCTTTGTTGGGCCTGTCTTGTAGGAGGTAACTTCTGGGTACTCGTCTGGCTCTGTCAATCTGTTTTTTCACTTCAGCAGGTGGGTATTGTAGTTTTAAGAATGCTTGATAGAGATCTTGTAGGTGCTTGTCTCTATCTGAGGGATTGGAGCAAATGCAGTTATATCTTAGATTATAACTTGATTATTAAGTTATAATCAAGATAATCTTGATTATCACTTCAAAAGTTTTTTTCGCTTACTTAATTGGCCTCTCAGAGTTGGTAAGACAACTCCCACCTGTTCATGCTCTCTGTATGTTTGTATATATATCTCCTCAATATATGTTCCACTCTATATGGATCCGAAGAAGCGGGCTGTAGCCCACAAAAGCTTATGCTCTAATAAATTTGTTAGTCTCTAAGGTGCCACAAGTACTCCTGTTCTTTTTGTAGAACAGCTTTGAGATTTAATAATGCTGTCCGTGAGTCTGTCTCTCTCTCTTGTGTGGTATGTAACAGAAGAGATAAAGACATACATTTTATGTTCAAAGGTCAAGGATCCAGGGTCCTGCAGATATGGGGGAGGGGTTGGCAACCCCCACCCTTCCTTGATGACAAGGGACTGAAATTTCAAATGGGAGATTGCTGGAATTAAATTCAATAGCATCAGATTGCACCAGTGTTACTACCTACCTCATTTCTTAGCTCTATCGTAGTCTGGGTAATTAACATACTACTAGAATTTTTTAATGTAAGTACATATTTCAAGGCCAGGGAAAATTTAAGGGGGGTCAGAAGACCACAACCCCATTCCCTCAATTAAAAAAAAATCAGCACAACCAAAGTACAGGATTTCAAACAGAAGCACTAAAGGCCATATAGTTAATCCTGCATGACATTCCCTTTGAAGTTCCCCAGAGTAAGGGCAGGACATGTCTTTAGATATTTGCAATAGATACCAATCATAGAAAATTTTAGCGGAGGGAAAGTTTAGAAAGGTAGCAGTGGGCGAACACAACAGGTTATAATGGAAACTTTTTTGCATCTTTAACCATAGCAGTTGCAACCAGAATAACAGCTGAAATACATCAAATACTCCTGAGGGCGTTCTGCGCCAAAAAAAAAAAATGGGCTGGGAGGGAACACGGGTCCACGGCTGACTTGTGGGCTGTGTAGCCACCTCTGAGAAGGAAGGCGTCCTCAGCCACCCGGAGTGTCCCCTCTCGCCCAGAGCCTGGTCACGAGGGCACTCTTCATTCCCGCAGGCAGTTTTCCCAGCGTTAGCAGCCTAGCACCCCTCCCCCATCTCGGCTCTTCCTGCGCGACACGTACAAGTGCACACTGCATTGCCCGCCGTGGGCACTGTGTCGGTAATGTGCACACACTGCTGAGAGCGGCACATGGCATCTGTCCCTGGTGCAGCGTGCTCACACTTTGCACCATTCTACCTCTGCTAGAGTGACCAGATGTCCCGATTTTATAGGGACAGTCCCGATTTTTGGGTCTTTTTCTTATATAGGCTCCTATTACCCTCCACCCCCTGTCCCGATTTTTCACATTTGCTGTCTGGTCACCCTAACCTCTGCCCAGGTTGCCCAATCTCCTGTTTGTTCCACACCAGAGGCAGGAGGATGCTGAGTGGCTCAGCGCTGTGTCGCTCAGACCAGCTCTTGTCTCTTCATTGGCTTTGCCCAGCCAGGGGCGGAGCATAGGTAGCTGTGGCAACAACTGGCAGAGGGCGCTAGATGACTCCTTGCATGTGTTACTTTGGAGAAGGCCTTGCAATATCTAGGGCTAGACCTAGCTGTGGATAAGTCAGTATTTTTTTCTCACTGTACAGATGGGAAATGGCGGCAGAGAGCTCAAAAGTGACTGACAAGATCATACAGCAAGTCAATGGTACAGGTTTCCTAACTCCGCAGCCCTGTTCTAAACACTACTTGCCACTTCCTGTAGGTTATATATTCATACAACTGCACTTGCTGTTTCCCAACTTTTAGGCCTTGTCTACACTGGGGGGGGGTCGATCTAAGTTACGCAACTTCAGCTACGTGAATAACGTTGCTGAAGTCGACGTACTTAGATCAACTTACCTTGGTGTCTTCACTATGGTGAGTCAACTGCTGCCATTCCCCCGTCGACTCTGCCTGCGCTTCCTGCCGAACTGGAGTACCAGAGTCGACAGGAGAGTGCTCGGTGATCGATTTATCACGTCTAGACTAGATGCGATAAATCGATCCCCACTGGATCAATCGCTGCCCGCCAATCCGGACGGTAAGGAAGACATACCCTAAGTGTAACTCCCCATTTTGATCATCCCTGCTGTTCTTGCAGCAAATACTTCAGCTATGCACTTAAAAGCAGGAGCAGCTATAATAAAGGAAAGTCTGAGCCTTGTAACAGTGGTGTGCTGCCGCTGGAGAACTATTTGTATAATGTTTACATCCTTTTGTGGCTTTGTGAATGTGTGTTGCAATAAGTTGAGGAATGTGTTTGTAAGAAGTCTACAAACCACCATCCAAAAGACACCATTTGGCTTTAGACCCTTTTAATGGCAAGTTCCTTCTATCCCTCTGAGTGATCCCAGTGGAGGAGGGCTGCTGCTCTTACCCCCAGTTCTTGTTGGATTTTCCATGACTGACTGATTCACCACCCACCAGGGGCATTCACTGCCTTTGCTGTTCTGCCAGTGCCCAAACCTAGAGAGCTGCAAGGCATAGCATTAGTTATTTTTCATGGCTTAAATGGAGCAGCAAAGAAGACCTCTCAATTTAAAGTGCACGGCTAGGAGAGTGTACCATTTGTGTTAGTTCTTGTTATGGGACTCAGAGGCCATGACAATGGGTGCTGCATAAACATACAGGAGCATCCAAACTTCAATCTAGCCAGGGCTCCACTAAAAACCTGCCACTGCATCTGCATGAAACAGAACTTATTCCTGGGGGAATTCTGTGCCAATAAATTAACAATTCTGCAACAAACAAAAATTCTGCACACAATATTTTAAAATTCTGCAAAATTCTTCATATATTAATTGTCAAAATACACAATATAATCACACTAGTTTCAGGTTTCAGAGTAGCAGCTGTGTTAGTCTGTATCCGCAAAAAGAACAGGAGTACTTGTGGCACCTTAGAGACTAACAAATTTATTCGAGCATAAGCTTTCGTGGGCTACAGCCCACTTATTCAGATGCATATAGATTGGAACATATATTGAGGAGATATATACAATCAACTCAGGATTGAATAAGGACTGTGAATGGCTGAGCCATTACAAACATTGAATCTATCTCCCCTTGTAAGTATTCTCATACTCCTTATCAACCTGTCGGTCCTGGCCTACCTTGATTATCCCTCCAAAAGTTTTTTTCTC